AACCGATAGCAACCCGTGTTGTGGCCCCGTAAATCCCGTTGATCGGATGATTTCCACTGATTTTCCCCATCATGTGGAGTGGTCACGACTCAGTGCTTCAGGCTTTACGAGTATTCTTAACGATCTGAATTTTCCCCCTAACCAGTTAAATAAATGATCAGCTTAGAATACTAATGTGTATCACTTTAAGCCTTTAATCGTGGAATATAAATCAGACATTAGAGCAGTGATTTATTAAACTACTATTAGAAGTTGTATATTAAGGCAATAAAATAAGTTGATTGCTTAGAAATTTATAAATTGCTGATATGAAAAAACACTATGTAAGTTATTAACTTCATCTTAAGCTACGGATTACGAAAACTAATTTCATAGTTGAGTTTATTCCTTGAAATATACTGAAATCCAACATGCACGTACTTTGAATTATTCAAAGGATACAAAGACAGGGAACAGAAGGATGAAAAGCGAAAACATAGCTGTGCTTAGCCGGGCCAACAAGGTATTTGAATTCTACACAAAGCTTAGGTCAATCTGTTATTCTGCTGGCAGATTACCAACAAAACTGATGATATAGGAAACCCAGATGCACCTCGTTGCTGACGAAGGCGCGAATGCGAGCCACGCTCTTTGGCGGTATCAACAACTGTATACGCTACTAATGGATTCTCGCTAGGCCACCCAGTCGTAATCCTTTTAAGGCCCACCCCCTAACCACCCACTATTCCACCCACCCACCTTGCGCACTCGAGAAGTGTGCAAAGCAGCGCCCGAGGGCCGATTGCAACATTTCTCATGCGCCACGCTGAAAACAATTGCATTCGAGTTCCGCTAGCTTTTGTCTTGATTTCACTTTAGCCGGGCAGCTGAATTGGAAATGCAATTTGTAGCTGACAAGTGGCCGGCGGACACAATGAATCGCAAATTCCAACGCAATCCTCGCGCCAATTAGGCAACAGGACCTAGGGAAAGGGAAATATTTATGCAGCCAATTTGAACGCAAATGCGCCCCAAACCTTCGGGCCATTTGTGGCCGAGCTCATCTAATGCGAAACTCCAAATCATAATCAACAAGGGAGTGGAGGGGACTCCATCCCTGAGAGAAATTCGTTCTCACGCTTCCTTGAAGCGTAAGTGGCAGGAAGATTCATCGGCCAATACTAAGCAGCTACAGTAAATTTTGTATAAGTGAAACACGCATCTTTCCAATTTTTTGATTTTTTTTGTAACTTTGAGTGATTTAAAAACACCTATTAAGGTATTTAATATTTAATTTTTTTGTAGCTTTGGCCTTGAAAACTTAAACTCCTACCTCAAGAGATTTTAAATCATTGTCAACTTTTTTGGCCTTACTATTTATTTGGTAGAGTAATTTGCATTCACAACTTTTAATGTTTATAAGCATTAAAAGTAGATATTTTAAGTGAACAGATTTTCAAATAAATAACTTAATGTAATTCTCACCACATCTTTAAACAGAGAAATATTTTGAATTTTTTTTGCACCTAATTTTTACATTTTTCTTTCTGTTCCAAAAACGAATTTATGCTTTTGTCTGAGCTCTTATTAAGAAAATAAATTATCCATAAATCAAGCCCTTTTTTACTTAATCTCTGTTTCTTTAAATTTCACAAAATGTATTTTGTTTAATGCCACTTTATTTTTTTATTTAAGGGAATATTAATGACTTGGTGATGCTCGACTGGTTTTGTATTTGTGTTTGCGCTTTGAGGGATAAGTGGTATCCCGGCTCTTTGTGTGGATGCCTCATTCAGGGGCTCACCGTCGGGAGGCTCATTAATGCGTCCTTAGTGGGGCAGGCGCAGCATTTGTCAGGCCCTTCTTAATCCCCGGCAAATCGCGTAATTATACGTCACAGGCCCACATACCACCGACATTCAACCGCCTAACTGCGATATAATTTCCGCTACATTTATTTATTAATTAAAAAATTTGTGCCATTGACGACGGGGCTTACGGGTAAGCTAGATAAATTACCATAAATTGTATTTTATTGCCCAAGTTCTAAAACACAAAGCGAATGGAATATTAGGCGACGAGCTTTTGCCGTGGGCCGCAGAGTACCGAAAATGTGTAGCATACTTCCCAGCGCATTGCGAATTCGCTATTATCAGGGAAAAAGTTTTGGCCGCAGCAGCTGGAGCAGTTCTTGTACCCTTTTTTTATGCCTCGGCCACATGCTGCGGTCCATTTTAAAATGGCTAGGAACAAGGGCGCCTGCAGTTTCGGCCGCAATTATGCAATTTTCGCCTGGTATCTACGATTAGTGTGCAGTTTTGTTCGGCTTTCTGCGGCCAGATGCGTTTTTAATTGCATCAAAGACGGCTTCCGTTCCTGGACACCCCGGCCTTGTCAGTTTCCTAATTGGACATTTGTAATTAACTTCACTGGCAGTCACTGGCGTTTCACTTTTTGTTCTGTCCGCCTTCCACTTTGGCTCATTTCTCACCATGCAGTTGGCATTTAATGCAGTCCCCTAGTTCCTCCGCTGTTTTTTCTGGGTTATTTATGTATCGCTCGTTAGTTTTCGGTGGACTCTTATTTATCGGCTGCCCCGAGGAGGTGGACAAGGTCGGATTTAGTTTTTCCAAGCCAAGGATTGGGGGGTGGATGGCTAACCTAACCCCCTGACAAATGGCTGGCAACAAAGGGGTTTAATTGCGCCGGGCGAATGTCTCCAGTTTGTCATAATTAACCCAGCTCGAGTGCACAAAAGTGCATTCTGTGGTCTAGTGGCGACTTTAGCATTCATTTGTGCTGCCCACCAGGAAGTGGCCTACTTTTGCCTGACCCAAATCAATAATTTTCCTCAGCGGTCTATTGCACATTAAAGTTGCATGTCTTCGGTTGTGGCGCAGCACTAGAGCACTCAATTACGTGTCGAAAGCGGTCGCCCCCCCTCTTGTACATCTATTTTGAGGCAAATCCTTGAAAGGTGGCAATTGACCTATACGATAAATAGTTTACAGTTGGCTGAGGCAAGTGATAAATGCAATTTGTTATGTCTGGAAGTAGACGGACGAGTTGTTTTGCCTTCCATACTGTTAAAGCTGGAGTTTAAACATGTTTGTCTAAACTTGGGAAATGAGCTTTGGCATATTCATGACTTTTGGTTTTCAGAAACATCTTTCTGGGTAGATGTGCAAGGATTTTGATAATGATTTTTGAAGAGCACTACACATTATATAATATCTTTCACAAATTGAAGGAATATATAAATAATTGAATAATTATTACTCGAAAAGGAGCATACATAACTTTTATAAGCACCCGCAAAGGAAGTTTTTTCAAGTTTCGAATAGCCCCTTCCATATTTTAGTTTTTTCCTATGTAGTAACACTTTTGAAGAACAGAATATTTAATAGTCAAACATTTTACTAAACCGTCTATTAAAGAGCAACACCATGGGGAAAGAAACATAGTGCTTTGCCTAAAACTATCCAACTTTATCCCCTAAAGGAAAGTAAAAGTAATTTATAGAAACTTTTTGTTTAAGTTGGTAAAGTATTAAAAATTAATTAGATAACGAAATGATTTAAAAATAGTCGACCCGTCTTAGTTCCGACCTAAAATTTAATTATTAATTTAATTGCGAATAAGTTCACTTAATATCCTTTATGATTTATGGTGAGAATATAACTTGTATATAATTTATTTTCGGTCAATGTACAAACATTTTTGAGGGAAAGAAGGTTCGAGTATTTAATGGTCAAACATTGGTAACTAAACCGACTTTTAAAGGGCAACACCATGGGGAACGAAACCTAGTGCTTTGCTTAAAACTATCCAAGTGGCTACTTTTCTTTAACCCCCCAAGTAAAGTAAAAGTAATTTATGGAGAAACTTTTTGTTTAAGTTGGCAAAGTAATAAAAATTAACTAAATAAAGGAATATTATTTATGACTTGCGGATAAGTTTAGAATTTATTAATTAATATGGTTGTAAATACAGTTTACTTGAAATCCTGTCTGATGGGGCTGAAAATTTTCAATACAGCTGCTCTAGTTTATGACTTGTATGATGAGGTTAAGCTACGACATTTTACAATCCGTTACTAAATTTATTTTAGGTCGAGAAAGAGTTTAGAGGGATGCCATAAACAAAACACCACCTGAAATTTTAGCTGTGAATGCCAACCAGTTTACTAAGTATCCTGCCTGATTAAAGGTGAGAATAGATGGCCCTGGGCAAAGTGCCTATTAAAGCTAAAACCGTAATGAGCTTAAGCAGTCATCGCATTGGATCTGGGGCTTCGGTGTGCCTGTGCTGCGCTCGTCTGAGAGTGCTTCAGTTCAAAAACCTCCAAACATTACGTCACAAGCTCGAATCCACACAGACGGGGAGGCAGTGGCACACATTGAAAAGTGCTGCGGGCCAGACACCAACACACCAGCACACCAACACACCAGTACACACCGACACGGTGGTGTGGCACGGCATTCATGGCTGCTGCTCTCGCACATCTTTGGTCGAGCTTTGGACAGGGGGTTAAGAGTGGGAACAGGGGTTAAGGGCGGCAGATGATGCCCCTGCGTCTGTGTTTTGCAATTGTCTAGCTCTGCTACTGGGGTTGACTTGGCTTTGGCTTTGGCATCGCCTGTTTTTTTTTCTTTAGCTAGGGCAACACGAAACATATAAAAATGTGAAGACACCTGGACCCGGATCTGGGCAACACTACCGTCTGTTGTTCCACTCGGTTTTTGCAGGCGGAAAAATCAATTTATGGATTTTAGTTTCGTTCACATTTGTTTTTATTTCCGTTGGCCCCATCTCTCTTTGACACGTTCGCGCCTCTTGAGCGCTTCAGTTCTTGTGGCAGCTTGTTGATGCCCCAGACCTCAGCGAAGCAAAGGGAATCCTTCAACGGAAGGGTCCCTGCTCGGGCGCCACACTCGTCAATTCACTCACTCAACTCGCAATTACAGCAATTTCTTTTAATTGCAATCAAATGAGATGAATGCGCTTGCTTCGCTACTTACCCTTTGCCGCGTCCTTCACTCTTCCCTGGCAGGATGCAGGATATAGCCGGATATCTTCGGTTGGCGCGCTAAAATGCGATAGCGTTGTAGCTGCAAAAGCGTTTTTATTGTGTGCGTTTTGTGAATGGAACAAAAGAGCGAAACGGAATTAATTTATTAGAAGGGGCAAGGAAACTTGTATAATTCACGGCACTGTCAACTCGCTTTCGCTTTGGGCTAAGCCCAACACGTACTTGGGCACTTTAAATATTTGCTCTGCACTGCAAAAAGTTCCCTCCTTTTCTGCGGACTCTGCTGCTGCTGCTGCCTCTGGTTTTGCTTCTCTAAGAGCCAACACTTTGGGGAGGAATCGCTGAACAGGACTACTGGAATCCTATTGCCTCGGTCCCTTTTATACGAAAGGCGCTTGCGATCCACTCGCGGTAATCAGCTGGCGAGGATGCTGTGGATTTGGATGTGGATGCTGGCTGCTCTCTGGACTTTCCACTGCGCAGGTACAAACAAGGAGCGGTTGCAGGCAGCCAACCGAAACATAATTAATTTTTAGCGGTAATTTTGGGAAATAATTTAATTAAATTTACAATTAAAAGACCTCACATAGTAAAGGAATAGTTAATGCAGCAGCCTGAAAGTGTGCTATGTTTTCCGTCATTGGTTGCCGCGAAAATAGGGTGACTCGCGTTTGGTGGCTTGAATTTAAATTAGCCACTTGTTGATATCAGACTTTCATAAAGATTTATACCAGAGGTTCTCATAAGTTTAGGAAGCTTTTGAGAATTTATTTCGTTGTAATCTTTGGATAAGTACTTTATGCGTATACTTAATCTGTAAGCAGGCTTTGATAAATGTTGAAAAAAATAAATATACCATTTCACTACTTTACTATTGGTTTTATTTTAAAGTGTGTAAAATGTGAGTAAAAACATGTCATCATGATCATGTTAATGAAAATTCAATCGGTTCAATAAGCATTGAAGCTTCTTTTACTTAAAAAGAATAAGTATCTAGATACTTTTACATTTGTAGTTATGGTAACGTGTAAAACAATAATTAAGGCAATAGAGAAATTAATAATAATTCAAAACTCGGTTTGCGGCGAAAACGCTAAATCGTGCCCTACATATTCGACCTCATAAATTAATTGGAATTTGCAAGCTAATTTTTGTCTATTGGCCTTAATTTTTTTAATTCAATATCAAAATACAATTAAAATGATTCCCAAATTGATTCTGTAAACCTACTTCTCAGGCCTCGAAATTTTGCCAATTTGCATAAAATCATAAAACTACCTTCCAGCATTTGATTGATGCAAACGAATTAATCCACTGGACCTCGCCAACGAAAGTGGTTGGTGGTTGTTGATGAAATGCTTTCACCGATCGCAGCGCCAGCGAATTGGCCACTGAATAAACTTCTTTGATATGGGAGATCGGTCCCACATTTCGACCATAAACAACCGAATCCACGGGATATTAACAATGGCATGCGAGGTGGCTGACACACCTCTTCCCCACTCACTCATTCACCCATTCGCGCATTCATTGATGATTATCTTAACTGTTTCCAGGGGTTCTGCGCATTTTATCTCTCGGGATGATGGCGAGGAATTTTTATGTGAACGTTGAGCAGAACGGAAAGTCATCTTGGTAATGCCCCATGTGCTTCTCCTTCCTGTTCTCGCTGGCGTATCAATAGCAGAACTAAAAGAGTGCGACCAAATGTGTGAACTAAAAGTGCTGAACAAAATGCTGAAGCTAAATACTTACAGTATGCTAGCATCATATTATTTTGTTATACACTGAGAAAAAAGTTTCATTGTTCAATATTTCTCAATCATCTTCTATTATAAATATACTGAAAATGTTGTTTGTTTTTCTTTGTACGATATTTTATTTGACAGCAGTTCTGGAAATAGCCATTTTCTATCTTTTATATTTATAATATAAATTGATTGTGACATATCAGCCTAAGCGATTTTAACAAGTATACTAAAATAATTAATGGTTTCACCAAAAAATTCTTTGATAGGCATTTTGGGAAACTGAATTCTCTCTCAACTTTCCGAGCTTAGAACTATTTTTCTCAGTGTGTCTCTGGTTGTGCCTCCATCTCGGGTGAGTGTGTCAGGTGCAATGTGCTGCTTTGGATGGCGTAGCAGGAGTGTCGACGAGAAACACATAAAACTAAAAGAAAACGCAGACAAAAATAAACTCCACAAATGTCGACTTGCCCATGTATCAAATGTCTTTCAAAGGTAGTTAAACGCTTCCTACTCCACGCAGAGCCAAGTACAAGTACCGATACCGAGTTGGGTCAAAGCGAGGCAACAAACATAAACCATTCACAGCCCGCTTTCCACATCTTTCGCTCTCCGTATGCCCCAAGGGTAGGGTACTGCCTGAATCGGCTGGCCGAACCATAAACTATTTATAGCTGTCTGTCTACTTTCGCGGGACTTCCTTCTAACTGAACTTGTGTAACCGAATCTCCATCTCCAGTGGTCAGTCTCGGTCCCCCTCTTTCTTCTGCCGCTGTCTCTTTCTGCGGCTGTCACTGCCTCTCTTTCTTGCAATCTCCCCATCTTCAATTGCTTCCCTATGCATACAAATTAACGTTTTAGCACACGTCGCGTTAAGTGGAAAAGTTTTAGCGGGCGAAAAGGCTGGCAGGAAGAAGGAGTGAGAGAAAGAGCAGAGCTGAAGAAAAAACAGGCAGAAAGAAAGCAGGCAAGAAAAAGTTAAGTACTTTAGACAACAATTGGACGCAATGCAAATGATTAACCCACTAGATACCTAAGAGATAGATCTGTTTACGAGCAAACACCTTTTACCTAACAAATTGAAGTGTAAACAAATTTTTTTGAAGGTTTGGAAAATCAGTAATCAATTATAATCTGAATAATTTGTATTAATATTTAGAACTTTAATATTGCAACAGTGATGAACATATTTGAATGATTAGATATGGCTTGGACTGTGTTATTTTGAATCCTTTCTTAATTAAGACTCATTAAAGTCAACACAAAAACAATGAAAAGTAGAGTAGCAGAACGAATAAATAACTAATATAAAGAAGTCAACAATAAAAAGTCAGTTTTAGAGTGTTAATTATTTTTGTTTGGGTAAAATTGATGACAAATTACATATAAAATTAAGGTATGATATATGGTATTAAACGATATAAGTCTGTCGATTAATGCATTGTTGTATTTTTATTCAAGTGAAAATTAGTAACTATTTTTTGGTTTTCAAGATCTTTTTTTTTAAACTTCGTTGTACAAGAAATGTTAGAAACAAATTGAATATGTTGACTAACGCAAAACTGGTGAATCAGAAAACCCGCTGGGTTAAAAGTGCATTCCCTCCGCAGAATCGCACTTTCCATGCCCTAGACCCGAGTCGAACTTGAAATCGGAACCCGTTTATCCATCCCCCTCCCGAAAAACAAGTTCTACCCCCAAAAGCTGATGCGAAATGTGGAAGAAGGCTGGCTGGCAAAGAGGACAGAACAAAAGTTTGCCGCTAAATTTTTGTGACAGCTGTTGAGCAGCAACAATACAGAGAGCAAGGCAGAGATATGGCCAGAGAGAATGTGAGTACCGAACAGAGAGAACCGACAACAAACGGTAAAGCTAAAGCAACTTCGGTAAGCCAGACTCGCAGCTCAAAGTTTGTGGCTCTCAGCTCATTCGCGTTTCAACCTTCTGCACAAACGGAGTGGCGCTCGAAATCGGAGGGTACGGAGTATACACTATGCACTCTAGCTGTACGATCTTTACGAGCCTCGGGCGATAAGTGAACCTCGAATCTCGAACCTCGAACCCCGAACCTCGAACCGTTGAAGCGGGACCTCGAAGGGCAGCCCTCTGAGCCTTGTCCCAGAACCGAAACATTTTAGTGCTTTAAAGTGCGGTGCGATTGTGTTTGTGAGAGCCCGAGCCCTGCACCTCCTGCCACTATATAGACACTATATATATAATGGGTCACTGGAGCGTGCGATATGCCCAAAGTGACAGCAACAACAACAGCAGCTAAACATGCGACTCATGCGCAAAGCAAATGACAAAAAAACAAAAAGCGACTAACGAAAAACGGAAAGAATAAATGGCAGTGGAAAGGGCCCAAAGGGGTGACCAGGTGACCGGGTGGACAGGTGAACAGGTGTCAATGTCAGCCGAAAACAAAAAACATTGCCGACACAGTACAAGATCCAAGGAGGGAACCAATAAAGAAAATAATATTAAACAAGAAAGAAAAGCTAACTTCGGGCGGAGCCGAAGTTGATATACCCTTGCAGAATATTCTGTAAATTATATTCTCCAAAATTATTCATATGATGCAATCTTAATACTCATAAAAAATCCCAACTTCCTAACTTTAAAAACACCAAAGTTATGGCATTTCCAATCGTTCAGTTATATGGCAGCTATAGGATATAGTCGGCCGATCCTTATGAAATTTGGTAGGTCGGATTGATTGGCCAAATATAAAACCCATATAAAATTCCAACTTCCTAACTTAACAAACAGCAGAGTTATGGCATTTCCGATCAATCAGTTATATGGCAGCTATAGGATATAGTCGGCCGATCCCGGCCGTTCCGACTTATATACTGCGTGCAAAGGAAAGAAGGGTGTGTGCAAAGTTTCAATTCGATATCTTTAAAACTGAGAGACTAGTTCGCGTAGAAACAGACAGACGGACAGACAGACGGACAGACAGACGGACAGACGGACAGACGGACAGACGGACAGACGGACAGACGGACATGGCTATATCAACTCAGGAGGTGATCCTGATCAAGAATATATATATATCGGGGGCTCGTTTGGTAACGGACTCATTTTTATTTAATTTTCAAAGCTCAGCAAGTTCTGCTCGTCTCTATGCCGCAAATCGAACTGACCTCCGAGAACGCAGAGCTCAATTTTATCAATTCCTTTTTTGCTCCTGCCTCTGTTCTCACTCAGTTCGCGACATACGATCAGACCTCACTCAGTAGCAGACACTCAATTTCCGCTACTATGCTTCTTTCCCTTTAACTGCGCATTTACAATCCAAAGTTCCAAAATATGTCCCGCCTATGCGTCGCCTACTTTTAATGACGTTCTAGGAAATGCACTTAAGCGAACACACACTGACCTACAGAGAACATGTACCAGCTCTCCGACACGGCCTTCCTGACAAATCACACGTCCTCGTGTGCTATCATTAAATCACTCCATGTTCACACGTCAGTTGTTATTCATTTTTATTCTTTAAAACATTTCATTAACATTTCTTCAATTAAACATAATCTCATTAATTCATTTAGTTATTCTTTAATAACATTATTCTCTTTTTGTAAAAT